GAAGTTCACAAGATAATTCATTTACAAGGTATTATAAACCAACTCGCTAGATGTATTCTCATATCTTAAAAAAGTAAATAAAATGCATGTCCTCATTGAGAATGCTTTTATTAAATTGATGTCCTAGAAGGACGATCTATTAATATTATAGCTAACGAATTTAAAGCACGCATGAAGCGTGGAAGACCGATCGGTTCTAAAGATAAAAATCCTTAAAAGAAAAGGATAAGATGAAAATATAAAGGATGTAAATATTCATAAAAAAGTCCAAGATATTTATGATAATTTGCTTCCGAAGAAATCCAAATGCTTGAGAAAAATAAAATGTTTTTGATAAATTATGTCAATACAGAGAGAAAATAGGACGGAAGAGAAATATATATTGATAAGATTTTTGTATGTAAAGTTACAATTGATATTTTGAATGAAAATAAGTATCCCGAGCCTAAATTATTGAAGAATGTTGACATGAAGATGATTGGCCTAAATAAAAAGAGTAATCCAGATAGAATTATGTTCTCCTATAAAAGAGTAGTTTTTTAAACCCATAGCTAAAACACCCGAAGTTATTAAGTTGGTGGGATACAAATAAGTATTTATGCAAACACGAAATAAGAAAGATGAGATTGTAAGATACAAAGCAAAACTTTTAACACAAGAGTTTTTGCAAAGAACTGACATTGACTATAAGGAGACATATTCTCCTATAATGGATGCAATTATATTTTATTATCTCATTAGCTTGACAAAATATATGAAAAATATTCATATGTATGCATTTAATGTATGTGATCGTAATTTATTTGTTCATTTGAAATGATATCGGTATGAAAGTCCTAGAAGGACTTAACATGCCGAAGCATATAATACATATTCTCGAGAAAAGAATTCTATTAAATTATAGAGATCTCTATTAGGATTATTTTAATATTTATTTTATTATTTTGGTTTTTAGAAATTCAATTTATACTTTTTATATTTTATTTTTATATCTACTATTTATTACTAACCCATGTGCATGTGATGTAATCACTTCAATAATTATTTGTTGAAAGAAAATTATAAAAAATAACCCTATTTGTTCATTCATTTGATATCCAAAAAGACCTTTTTCGATCTCGAGAAGATAACGAAGAACTATTTGGTCTCGAAATACCATATTTTAGTGTCACTTGTGCATTGATGTATCTTACTAATAATACCGACTCGATAGAGTCTTTTCTATAAATTTGTTAGCAAGTCATATTTACGTTCAATATAGAGACATTAAAATAAAGTTAAATATATACTACGTTATCTTCGAGGAATAATTGATATGGGCTTATATTACTTCAATAAATCAAAGACAAGATTAATTGGTTATGTAGATGCAAGTTATTTATCCGATCTACATAAAGCTCGATCACAACCGGTTATATATTTATATATGAAGATACAACTATATTTTGGTGTTCTATGAAGCAAACTACGACTACCATATCTTCATATCATGCGAAATATCAATTCATGAGGCAAGTTGAGAATGTGTTTGGCTAAGATCAACGATCATTCATATCCGAGAGACATACGGTTTATCTATTAGCAAAAGAAATTCCAACAATATCATATGAGGATAATGTTATTTGCATAGTTTCATTGAAGAAAGAATACATCAAAGTGACAATCCAATAGATTTGTTCACTAAGACATTACCTACCACAACTTTTGAGAAGATGATTCACAAGATTGGAATGCGTCATCTTAAAGATCTTAAATAATGCCTTCAACGAGAGGAGACCAAAATGGACATTAATGTGTACAAGGAGTACTCTACTCTTTTTCTTTCACTAGGATTTTTTTCCACTGGATTTTTTCCTAATAAGGTTTTAACGAGGCATGTTTCTTGTATAATGGACATTCAGAAGGAGTGTTATGAAATAATGAATGTTCATTATTTTGTTCATCTACTTTTTATATCCGCACTACTCATGATTCTTAATATGATTCAATTCATCAATCAATATGAGAAATTGAAAGGGTGATGTAATTGATTATTCATAGTCTCTCCCAATTCTCTCTTCAATTTTAAAGCCTATAAATAGGCTTGATTTGTTCATTAGTTGGTGTACAAGTTTCCTAAATAAAATAAGAGAAATTTTGAAGTTCTTATCACTTATATTCACATTACAATTATTTTATTTTCTTATCATCATTTTTTTCAATTCTCTTATTATTTTTATTTATTTTATAACAGTTTTATAATTTTCAGTTTTGTTTTATTTCTTATTGGAAAGAACCATCATGTTGAGAGAGAAAAAAGGCATTGTCATAATTAAAGTACATGAATTAAAAAATAATTTCATTTGACGGCAGGTCTACGAAAAAAATAGTTACAAGCATAGCACTCAGAATAGATTTTATTATTATTATTATTTTCAGATGAACCTAAAAACTCCATACTAATAATTATAAGCGTTAACGGTGAAGCTGAGAATTCGAAGCTTCGAAAGCCTCAACTCTTTTGAAGAAAAATATTATATGCAAAAATATTCGTGAACGGCAGGATTCGAACCTGCGCGGGCAGAGCCCACATGATTTCTAGTCATGCCCGATAACCACTCCGGCACGTCCACAAGTGATGGAGGCTTCCACTTTTAAGTTATTTAAATAATTATTTAAAAGAAAGAATCGAGGGCTTTTTCTATATCTGAGTTGTTACCGTAATCTTTTAGGCCTTGAAAATTGTTCTGGACTCAAAATTTTAGTTCTGAACTTTTGTTGGACTAATCCTGAAGTAAGTTTTTAGGTATATAGGACCGAAATCCAGCAGGACTTCAAATACTTGAGTTTTTATGCGTGTGTGTGTGTGTTTTTTTTTATATAAGTCGTCGTCTGTCTTGTAGTTTCCAATTTCCTCCATTTCAAATTTATAACTAAGGCTATGGCTATAAAATTTACATTTCTACTTAAGAAAGATGTCCTAAGAATAATAATAAAAAAAAAGGACCAAGAAAATAATACCCTCAAATGCCAAATACTTCAAATCTTCCGAAGCCATCCTCCACGCTACTCAATCTAACCCCACAATCTTTTTCTTTCTAAGCATACCTCTCGAGCATCATTTTACGTGAAGTTTATGTGCGTACATTTCAGATGCGTTTTAACCTTATGTATAGTACAATTAAACCCAACGCAAGCCACCATTTTTTCCCAGGAATTCAAATCCAGCCCACCTTTATTCCAAAATCCTTATCATAGGAGTTTATTGTCCATATCTAAAACAGCATAGTCTCCCACGCTCCCATGCCCCCAACCACTCTCAAGTCTCACCCCCTCCCACCCCAGAGTGACAATATTCCTCATCTAAAGTCTAAACGCCTTATTCCCTATAAAATGATAAAAGCCAAACCTCATTAGTCCCTCTCCATTCGAGTCATTCCTTGCTTCCCCGTCAAATTAAAAATTAAAAATTAAATTTCATCTAATTTCATAATATTTAATTAAAATTTTATATTTCATTTATTCTTTTTTATCTTTTTCATGAATTTTATTGTTAAAAAAATGTGTTTCGTTCTTCTTTGTGCATCATTCTTAAATAAAAACTAGTAATAATATAAATATAATTTTTTTAAAAAAATCAATATTTTTTTTCATAAAATTGCATCGAAAAAATAAAGTAATAATTAATATAAAAACTTGTAACACAATTAACTAATAATTTTTTAATTTTTTAAAAATATGTATATTTGATTTATATATATTTATTTATAAAATAGTTAATAATATTAGTATAAAAAGATATATTTGAATTATTAATTGATTCTTCTAAAACATTATTTTATTTTTTAAAAATAATGTTAGAATATTAAAAAATAATAGCAAATGACCGAGTGTTATGTGTATAAATGTAGATTTAATTTCTAATAAAACCAATAATCTCAATATTTTTTTTATATATATTATAACCACACTCAACGGATCAAAATATGCAGTATAAATTGAAAAATAATTTTTAAAAAACTTAAGTAATAAATATATTGAATTTAATAAAGTACAATGAAAACAACTAAAAATTTTATTTCGATAAAATTTGATTATAAAAAGAATAAAGAAATAAAACAAGTGAATTTAATTAATTAATTAATTTTTTGTAAAAAAATTATTCAAAAATCCATATATAGAGAAAAATAAATTATATTTATTAATAAATAAAATCACATAAAAAAATAAAAAATTAATTTGATGAGAATTTTCTTTAAAAAATTAACAAATTGAAGATATCAATTTTATACAATAAGAACAATACAATCCTATATATATATGTTAATTTTAAAATCTAAAAACATGAGGGGTTAAAAATATCGTTTAAAAACATGAATGATCAAAAATATTTTTTGAAAAAATAAAAAACTAAAATGAAATAAAGTGAAAACATGACATATCAAAAGATGTTTTTAAAAACAGGATAGACCAAAAATATATTTGAGAAAAATCAAAAACCAAAATAAAATACAATATAAAATTTATATAAAAATACCCAAAACAGTTATGAAATTATAAAAATACCATTATCTACAGTTACAAAATGTGTTACATAGAATAATGATCCGTGAGACAATAAATATTAATTAGTATTTATTTTTTCACCAATTTTTATTGTTTTTGTTGATGTGATGGTACAGTCTCTAGAACGGGCTTCCAACGAATCCAATTAGCACGCTCCGATCAATATCCATTTTTTAAAAAAAAAATTATTCCCAAGAAAATCACACCCAACCCAGCACAATAAATCTAACCTTTATTCCAAAATCTACACCCTTCGTCCCTACCAATACTGACTACTGTCCCCACACGGTCACACCTCCCCTCCAAAAGGACCAGAACTTCCAACACATGTCACCATTGCCTTTCCTCCTAGCGCAAACAAAAAGAAGAGAGATTCCCATTTCTCACTCTTAGATCAAGAAATCAACAAGTTATTTAGAAAACATTAAAAAAAAAAAAAACTTAGCAGCAAAGCAATGAATCCTCAACAGCAAAATCCAGTAGATCCAGACCACCCACAACTCCCGACAATCAAGGTCCACCACCACCACTCTCACCCACCCGCCGCCACTCCTACCCCCACCTCCGGCACTCGCCGCAAGATTGGTGTCGCTGTCGACCTCTCCGATGAATCTGCTTACGCTGTCCGCTGGGCTGTAAACAACTACATCCGTCCTGGCGATGCCGTCATCCTCCTCCACGTCAGCCCCACCTCCGTCCTCTTCGGCGCTGACTGGGGCCCGCTCCCACTCTCCACTCCCACGCAATCGCAACTCGATCTTTTGAACAATAACAGCAAATTTAATCACGAAATTGATTGTAAAAATGAGAATAGAGAAAATCTACAGCTACAGCAAGACGAAGATTTCGACGCTTTCACTGCCTCGAAGGCGGCGGATCTTGCGAGGCCTTTGAAGGAAGCGCAGATTCCTTTTAAGATTCATATCGTGAAAGATCATGATATGAAGGAGAGGTTGTGCTTGGAAGTTGAGAGGTTGGGGTTGAGTGCGGTTATTATGGGGAGTAGAGGGTTCGGTGCGGCCAAAAGAGGGAGCGATGAGAGATTGGGTAGTGTGAGTGATTATTGTGTTCATCATTGCTTTTGTCCTGTCGTTGTTGTTAGATATCCTGAGGATAAGGATGGTGGTGGGGCTGAGCCGGAGGCAGTTGTTAATGTGCCGGAGGATGTGGAGGCCGCCGAGGGAAAACTTAAAGGTTGGGATTTTTAATGTGACTCTGCATTTTTGTTATTGGTGATTTTGATTGAGGTTTCAAATTTCGGTCTTTCTACTTTATGATTGGTGATTTTGGTTTATGAAGTTATTTCTGATGATATGAGTATGTTAATGTATGCAAATGCTTTGAATGTATAGGAGGATTAGGTTGTGGAGCAATTTTCCTTGATTGTGAGTTTGTTAGTTGTGAAACGTTGAGATAATTATGCACTTTTTTAGGATGCAGTATCTAATTGAAATGCTCTGGATTGTATCGTCATGTAAAAAACTAATCTGGATGTAATGAAAATGTGTACATCATGTCTTAACTCCGAGAGCATTTTTTAAGCGATTAAAGTTGCATATAAATAGGTTGCATTGGAGTAATTTTGATATCAGATGTTAAAGTTGCACTCTTGATATTGTTCTGGAGTGTTGCTGAAATATTGCGATAAAGATGCGTGAAATAGTTTGATTGCTTTATGAATCTGAAGCACAAAATTTGAATTGTGCTTGTAGAATAGCAAGCTGTGGTGATGAAAGTAGGATTGAATTGAGTTAAAGTTGGCATAAAAAGCATGCAGGCTACTTTACTATTATAAAATGTAATCATTATTGGCCATTTCATGGCTATAGAAAGATTTTTTCAACTTATTTGGCTTCATTCTGGTCTTTTCATTGTAATCGACAGTTAGTAGTAGGCCAAATTTCACTCTAGTTAGCTGATTTAATTGTTGCTTGTGTTTTGTTATTTTGTTATATGGTGGAATTTGTTATTGCTGGTATTGATTATACTTGGCATGCTTACTTTCTGCCTTACTGTTTGTTGATATTGGTTAACACAGTTTTGTTTGTTGCAAAATGTGATGACCAATAATGCATAATCATGCTAGGTTTTGGAACTTTTATTATTATTATTATTATTATGAGATTGTCAGCACAGCTGAGCAAACTAATCAGTCATATTTAAAATAATCTCTAAGAGCTTGTGCAGCAATAGAAATTTGGTAATTAAAATCTGGGTGAAGAGCATTTCTTCAGTGTTTGATGATGTGTATAAATAGCACAAAATGGATTACGTGTGAATTTGTGGGATTCATCTTCTCATGGGTGACATAATTTACATGGCTGTATTTTGGAGAGTTGCTGCAATTTTGTTGTTAAGATTCATTAAATAGTTGAAATGCTTGCTGAATTGTAAGCATATATCTTTGGAGCCTTAGGTACTTTTAGAATTTGGATAAAGATGTGGTTGATTTGAGCTAGAGAGATACATATGTCACATCAAATGGAAGTTGCTGGCAGTGACGAGTGTTGCAACTGTGTGGCTATTTGTCTATATTGCCTACATGATGATTTGATATTGTTGTTCTGTAGAGAAATTAAATATCAGCAAGTTGTCGATGACAATTAAGCCCTAAGTCGATAAATAATGCTTAGTGAAGCACTACTGTTTCTCATTTAATGCAATATGATGAGAGGTTTTTTGGGTTTTGGATTGATGTATCCTTGGTTTTTTTTTTTGGCAATTTTGCTGGTCTTCCTGCAGCGGATGCAGTAGGAATAGCACAATCATTCTAGTTTTAGACATTTTAATAAGATCCATAGTATTAGTCTTTAGCATACGTTTTTTGTGTTTCTTGATGATTCTCAGGTGAGTGTTGTTGCAACTATGGTTAGGCTTTCATTGGCCTGGCATAACTTTGCTTGTGCATGAATAATACAGTTTGTAAATTGTCTGTCTCAAATACTGTTTTCTTCTCCTTGTTGCTTCTATTTCATGATCCTCCCTTGGCTCAGGGAGGAGCCAGTCTAGCTGTCAGTGGTCTAATACTTATTTTACCAATACAGAAGAGGTATTTAACACTTATTTGTCAACGCAATTGACAAATTTTTGTTGCATCGTCTCATATTTTACATAGCTGAAAGAAAACAGGTACATTGTATTTGGACCATCATCTTTGCATCTATTGTAGATTGTATCTAACCTAGAGATATATTCAAGAAAGAGGTTTCTTCTGTTTGTTGAAACTTCTGCACTGCTGTTTTGTCATATGGTTCTTTTAATGAAAGTTCAGTCATTAGTAAAAGGAGGATGAATGATTGGGACTGTAAATGAAACTTCATCCTAATTGTTGGTTACAAATCCTTTTACTCTGAATGATTGTGTTAGCTGTGCAGTTTCTGTTCAAGAAACGATTTGCTTAGACTGGATGCTGATGGTTGAATTGCTGTTATTGCTATTGTCATTTGGTTGTGTAGTTCCATAGCTGTTTAAATAGTAGGTTTCAATAAGGAAACTTTTAAATGATGTCTCTATTTGTTGTTTGTTGCCTGACAGATGCCTAGTTTGAAGTCCTATATCGTGGTCGTGACTGGTTCTCCTCCATAGCAGGTATATGCAGTTGAGGCTGGATAATGTTTTTTTCTCCTCAATTGCAATGTTGTCTTGTCTCGCCCCTCCCTTCCATTTCTCCCTGCTCTGTGGGCTTGTGTGCATGCAATGTTTTCCTTGTTTATTTGGTCACATATGTGCATTACACATGGCACTAATGAATAGACACTATTGCCCTTTTTTGGGGGGCTAAACTGGTCAAACCTCCCCTGAACTTTAATTAATTTGAAAATTAGTCTCTGAATTTCTAATTTCTAGTTTGACCTCTCCAGGACTTTATTTATATATATATTTTTTTGATTTGGTCCATCTTATGATTTCTAGCTATCACTCTCTCTAAACATTAAATTCTTGGTATTTTGAGTTGACGTTTTGCACACACGTTGAAACAAGTCAAAAAGTATTTTTTTTAATCTTATTTTTTGAACATTAAAAATGTAGAAAATCGGAAAAAATAGGAGATAACATGGAATGATCTCCAATTTTTTAAAGAGCGCTAGATAAATTTTATTGAATGATTTTCGTCATAGGTCTATTTATGTGGACTTTTTTTTTTTTTTTTATAGAGAACTAAAGGACAGACTAAATCTCAATAAATAAATAAATAAATAAATAAAGAAGAAGAAGAAGAAGAAGAAGATAGGTCAAATCTGAATTTAGAAGTTTAGGAACTGATTTTCAAGTAGACAAAAGTTCAAGAGAGGCTTATCCTTGTTAGCTTTTTTTTTTTGTTTTTGGTTGTTGGGGGGGTGTTTGTATTGCTCAATTTCCTTGATGTTTCTACTTTTCAATTGTCATGTAGATCCAATTTTGCTATTTGGCTTTGTCTTTGTAGATGTAAGGAAGGAGGCGTCACAGTCAGCAGAGATTAGGTGTAACATGCTGAGGAGGTAATAAGATGTTGTTTGGGTCTGCTGTTTGTGCCAATGGACAGATTGTAGGGTGCTCTTATCTCCCCTATGACTCTTGTCAAAGGTTTCTCATATATGAAACTTGGGAGGATTTGTTATATTTGTACGGCTGATTGGTGATGTGGGGTTTCTGGATATTCTTGTAGGCATTTGGAAAATATGTGTTAATGGATTGTAATGCACATTTTGGTGTTGAACATTGCCTCTACGTTTTTGTTTCCAGCTAGCAAGTTGGTTCTTTGTTCTTTATGAATGAGTTGCTTAATCATGACTGAACTTGTAAAATGAAATCAAGCAACCCAATAAGCTGAAGCACAGGTTTATGGGCAAGCCACTGGTTATTAACTTTTCCGTATTTAATTTTCCTCGAAAAGTGGATCTCTGCCATTTTGCTGTGTGTAAATTGCACCAACTTAATTGGGCCCAAAATTTTGATGAAATGACCATGGACACGAGCTCTCGAAATTTTTTGGGTTTTAATCAGTACATAATTGACACGGGCTCTAGGGTCGGGAATAGTGACAAGGTTGGACCGTTGTTTGGGGGTTGTGGGGTGGGTGTGTACAACTGCTTCTGTTAGCTTTAAAGTGTTTGGTATGACGAGAACTGAGTGATGAAATATCTCTTGCTAACATGTTAAAATCTCTTGACAGGGATTTTAGCGTGATGGAAACAAGTCAATGTTCGTACCAGAGACTTAGATTAATAGACACAAGAGCTCTGGGATTGGGAGTAGTCACGATGTTGGACAGTTGTTGGGGGCTACGACTGCTTCTGTTAGCTTTAAAGTGTTTGGTATGACGAGAACTGAGTGATGACCTATCTCTTGCGAAGAAATCTTGACAGGGATTTTAGCGCGATGGAAAAAGTCACTGTTCGTACCTAGTGCCTCTTTAACGTCCCTGCTTTGCTTTAATTTTTACTGATTGTGTTCTCACGCAAGGCAAACATTACCAAGTATCTTGGCACCTCAAAATTTGTAAAATCGCACATGGATCAAGTATGGTATCCTTTTATGATAAAATAATGAAATCTAAATGAAATGATATATTTGATCTTATGATTAATCAAGTTTCGACGAAATAAAGAAATTTAAATGAAATAGTACGTTTGGTCTTATAATCAACCAAGCTTGACGAAACAACAAGACTTAAATAAAACGAAGTGTTTAATCTTGCAATCGGTCGGATTCAACAAAACAACGTATCTAAAGGAAACGAAAGAACACATATCAATAACTATTCAAATCTAACTTCGAATATAAGATAGTTATCGATCGTGAGCTATTTAAAGAAGAGAAATTGACAAAATCGGACAATCATAATTACCGAGATAAGATTTTTTCAACACAAATTCATTCAAGTTTTTTTAGTTTACCCCGTATCAATTAGTGTCTACATTCTTGCAAGTAGTTGAATAGTTTTTACTGCTTTTAATAGTTTCGTTATTGTAACCTAAAAAGTATTGATTCGTCGGCGATTGTGGTCAAACGGCTTCAAGTGTTTCGATGGCTAATGATATAAGTGTCATATCATTCGATTAATGATATTTATATTTTTTTTCGATGAGTTTTGTCTCGTTTCAATTGATGAAATTTTCTTTATCTCTCGAATGTTATTTCTTCTAATTAATAACATTTTTCTTATTTTATCTTTTTACGTAAATGGAGTACACATGGAAGGTCCTAGTGGCTTGTTAGAAAAAATCGAACCCTATACTATTTCATCGCAAAGCTCTTGATCATAAATTGAAGCATCAACCTACTCCATTTGAAACCAAATTTGACAAGCGGTAACAAGTTTTGGTGATCACAATGGGAGAGTAATGGCAAAACATGGTACTATTAAAAGTAAGATAAAACGTCAACTCTCTAAAGAGGACCAAATTGACGAAACACTCCCTATTTCTTTCGAAGATATGGTTCAAATTTTTAAAAATGAACATCTAATGGAAACTATGAAAAATCATGATCACATAAAAACCAAGGATGATAATGAAGCGGAACCTAAAAGTGTAAGCGACAAAGGGCAAGCCGATAATCGAAACATGTTTGATGTCGAAAGTCAAAAACGTGTGTGTTAAGAAAAAAGTGATGGTTTTATAAACGAAACCATAACATCGGGAAAAACACATTAGAAGAACGAGTTGTTAAATTTCGACGGATGCTTATCGGATCGGATTGAAGAATTGATAAAAATAATATATGACCTATCTTTGAACATCGATAGTCGGATAAATCGATAAATACGATTAATGTTGAACTAACTTGTGGAGGATATCAATAAAATAAGAGCTTCCATAGTCGAGTCATCGAAGAAAAATAGTGAAATTATTAATAACCATACTTGTCGAACTATCAAATTGTATGTGTTACCATGATGAAAGAGTGACTACAAATGTAAATCACTTGTTTAATGAAATTATTATTCCATTGGCTAGTCAAATTGCCAAGGAAGTAGAGATTGTCATTGAACTAAGGTTTGAGACAATTGTAAGTGATACTCGAATAATGAGAGAGAATGTTTGATGACTTGTGGTTTTGACGGAAGGAAAAGGAAAAAATCCAATCGAAAAAATAAATTTTGACATCAATAGAAAAGTAAGACCATCAACAACCGGATCGATGAAAATTCCTTTGGGTTACCTACCTTTTGTTCCTAATGGACCATTCGATAGTAGAAATGGTCATGATGTACCACAAAACATTAATGGACATGCTCATTATAGCCAAACTAATGACTATTCATTACGGGCATCTCTTATATTTATGTTGACATAACATTATGGCCCTCCTTCAAACACACCCCTAAGGACAATAAGCGGTTTTCCACCATAGAATGCACCAACTATGGTTGCAGTTGGAGGAAACAATTTAGCACCACATCTTATTCCTAAAAATACGTATGGAGAAATGAATCAAGAATTTCTAGATAATATGATCAAAAGGATTTATGGATCGCGAATGTGTAGGGTTAATCATCATGTTTATCAAAAGCCATATCCAAATTACATCGATAAGGAATATGCTTTCTCTAGAGGATTTTGAGTTGTTGAATTTATCTTTTTTTCTAACAAGGACAATATTTTTGCTTTAGAACATGTATCCGAATTTACCTTGATACGAGAGAGTTATCGGGAGATGATTTTCTAAAATTTTTAATCTTTTCTAGTTCTTTAAGCTGCTACTAATATTGTAATAACCCAACCTAAAAATTATATTAAAAAAAGTCTGGTATAAAAGGGGCAACAACTGCCACCTTTTCATAATTTTCTTCTTCTTTCTCTTCCTCTCTCATACTTTTTTCTCCTAATTTTCTCATATCTCCCACTTTCAATTAATAAGGAATTAGCTTAGAAGAACTATAAATTAGTTGATTAAGTTAAGCTTAGCTAGCTTGAAGTTTAGAAGACTTAAAGAACTAGGAAGAAATGGTAGATTGAAGAGCAAAGTATCAAAGATAAGATTTTTAATCAATTGATCTTTGAATTATGATGTTTATATATAGTTAATGATGATATTAAAACAGAATTAGATAGAGTTATAATTTTCTTGAGGAATTAATTGGATTAAGATTATGGTTTTTAAGACCCATTTAAGGAAAAGTTTAATTAAGTGATTGTGTTTGAAAAGTTTTTTAGACCCATTTAGGTTTTTAAATGCTTACTTGATGTGTTATTATACTATCAAATTGATTTAGAGCATGCATTATATTTGAAATGCGTATAAATATATACGATTTTTAAAAATGTTTTTGAGATCCTATGAAACCTAACTATGGAGGGCGTAGCCTTAATGCTCAATGATACGAGGCTCTAGCTAGTAGAAGAGGTGGAGTACTATCCCATGTGTCGGCTAACATATAAAAACCTATTCATGCTTGGGTGTGACCTTTACATGTTCGTATCCAATGATACGTTATT